GGGGCCAAACATTTTCATTGAAGAAAGCAATACTACTGGATGGTTTTTCTTAATTTTCTAGATATAATTATATTTTGGGTATTATACATGGACTAGAAATAAGTGTGGAAGCGTATGTAATAGATGTGAGCCTGATGTTACAGATGTAATCAGCTAATAGGCAAAAGAAAGTTCTTTTGAAATCATCGGAAGATTCGATGAAAGCGCAGTCTTGAACTGGGCAGCCTGTACATTATTTATATTGTATTGTGTCGTTATGTATTGTTTATCATCGTTAATTTATTAAATATTAAAATGTAAATTGTAACCACAGCCAATTAACGTAATTATACTCATTTCCAAGATAATTACACCACCTTCGTACATAATGTTGTTCCCTAGAAGGTACTTCTATACTCATAATTATATTGTCTGCAATATAATTTCATGGAAGTATAACTTTATAGTTGGGTACCTCTTGCACCCACTGTCTACTGGTTTTTTTGTATAGTCATATAAGTAAGTAACTTTAAAAATGATTAAAAACTGTATGTTTATTGAAACCGGGTACAGACTCTTTGAGCCAACATTACAAGTGACATTTAAACCAATTTTCTGTTTCTACACAGTAGTCTCATACTGTATTGTTAGTCTTAACATTATGAGGGTACACTACATAAAGCTCATTCGTTTGATGTCGTGACCGTGACTTAGAGAAAATTGTGTCACTCAATTAGTACACTTGTACATGCGAGTCACCTATACATGGAACATTTATAGGAACACAAGTTGGAATTGTATATGTAAGTATATTGTTACACGTGAATGACACTATTTCCACTAAAGCACAATCACGCCACATAATGGGTGAGCTTTACGAGGTATACCCTCATATTCGGTTTTTCAAACACTTACACACTACTTATTTAATTAAAAATGCACAGTTATTACATGGCCACTTTCGAATATACAACAAACGATATTTTATTTAAAATTATCAATGTTTTCATAGCTATACGAATGCACAACACTTTTCTCTGCTGTACTTAAAAAGTTTCGATTTCCTAACTATTGAACAAGAATATACTTTTAATCTTTTAATCTGCTCATAGAATTAAAGTAAGTGTGGTAATGAAATAATACGTCTCAAACTCAAACAATGTTTTTCTTACGCTATATGATCAATTCGTTTCAAGTCTATTTGTGTGAGTTCTGATAGCTTGAATAGTTATAGTTAAACGAACATGCTTTTAGGTATTATTTATAAATTATCATATAGTCATGTATAATTATTTCTTGTTAGTACCATACATTAATGGAAGACAGTCAATTACTTTTCTTTATATTTTATAAATGAAAATTATGTATTTACAGTCGTAAATTACTTTCTTTAAGAAACACAAACAAAAAAATACATTTGAACATCAAATAGATTGTTACACACACATTTTATTCGTCACTATTACATTTGAACTCTAACTGTTCTTTAGTACCTTAATCACTATCTTCAATAGTGTATTATGTCAGTTTCAACATACTTTTAATATCGTTGTAGATAATATTCCGTTACTGTTGAAATATCGGATTGCACTATATTAAAAGAAGAACTCGCTAGTATGATCAGTAAAATCTTTTCATAATATAGGTAGGGCTCGTTATTACAAATTATCTCAAGGTTTTTCTCAAAATTAAATAAAAAGATGAAACCATTATTTTATAATACCTCTGTTCGCGTACTTGGCTGCACTTATAATTGGTTTCGAAGACACTGTCAAACTAGATATTAAATTAAAAATGTTAAGTCATACTACTGTTGCAAGACTTTTAAATATTTAAAAAGAATTATTTTATTGAATACTATGCTTTTACAATTATCAACACAAAACATTTTTTATTATTGTCATTACTTATGAAATTTGAATTTGTTTTCTGCATGAAGATATACATCGCTTTAGTATACTAATAGGGTGGAATAAGTACGGTGACAAAATAATACTGCTTTCTTATTAGAGCAATCGCAAATAAATTACTTTAAACTTTAATCTCTACTATGATACTATAAGTTATTATATAACTGTACAAAAAATAAAAACAATTATTTATGTATTTTGACTACGTTTACAATAAGTTTTTTGGATTAAAAAATCAAAATTAATAGCTAGAAAATCTATAACGTCACATACTTTCACACTAAAATAGCATGGATTTGAAAAACTTTATGACTTGTTATAATATTCATTCTAACTAGATTTTTAATTTTCCTGTTCGCTTGGTGCATAGCACACAGTGCTTCTAATGCAAAGTCGAAAAAGTGAGACTTGGGACTCGGATGCCGAAATGTGCAGATGGCAGATGACAGCTGAGAGGGACAACTTGCAGTTGAGAAGAGTTTCGAGGTTACTTCACAATAAGTATATTTATAAACACGTTTATGGCGACGTCTACAAGCTTCAGCATCCGAGTTGCACTAAATGTTCACTATGGGCGCTTAGAACGTTTCGCCTATCTCCTCCAACCGTCTGTAGTAGGATTGAATTAGCCAAAAAGCATGGCCATTTTTGAAAAATTGCTACTAACACGAAAAAAATCTGGGTGGTAGTTAAGCTGTGTCAGAACAAATCCAAATGGTTTTAGACTTGAAACTGTGTCAGCTAACAGCCCAAAAAAATGATAACAGTGGCCCAAAATGGTTTCTTGAGAATAGAAAAGAACTAGAGACTCGGACAAAGAAGTTAGACAGGTTAAAAATATGCGCAATTTCAAGATGAAGAAAGTGAGCTCCAGTAGGATACAATCAGTCCAGTAGTTTTTTCGCAATTTGCAAAAAAGTACCACTTTTGACCGTTTTTTGAAAAATCTATAACTCGCGTTCCTCTTAATATTAAGACTTCAAAATTGAATACAAGGTATGTATTGTACTCCTTACCATCCACACTAAATTTCAGTAGGATAATTTATAAACTTTTTGCAAACCACTGCAAGAAGCGAAAAGTGAAAAAAGTTGGACGTGGCTGGTTTTTCAACATATTGCCATTTTTCAAACGGTATTGTATTCGTCAGGAGTTACTTTACAACATATCATAACTTCGTCCCGTTTGATTTGTTCTGAAACAACTTCACCCAGATTTTTTTCGCGTTATAAGCAATTTTTCAAATCGGAAACCTAATTGCAACCCACTGCTGCACCCTGCGAATAATTCTAAAGGGACGCAGTTCAATGGACCCCAGATAAAAACGTACAATTTCAACGAAGCCGTTTACACAAAAAATTGTCTACTGTTTAACATCAGTGCGCTAGTATTTAATGAAGCCATTAAAAAAATACGTATCTCTGAGAAAGTTTTGTAAGTATAGAAAATCTTTTTTTTTATTAGATTTTTAACATTCTTTCCCTACAATTATATTTGTAACACTAACTAATTTCTTTTTCTTTGAGTTTTGATGTTCTAATTGGCCCTTCTTTTCCTGATCAACAATACGATTTTTTATTGGCAAACCTGTGATTTTTTTATTTTCTTTATTGACATCTACATACGACTGCACTGCATCATTAATTACTTCTGTGTCCGTATCCTTCAGATAAGAACAGAAATTTTAAAACTCTTGTATTAGATGTATACTGCAAGATAATTATTTATACTTATTTTAGAAGGCAACGTCTTTTATATTAACTGGTATACATAATTTGTCCAGTATGCACCCATATATCACATATACAACGGTCGCATTTTTCGTTACGTAAGTAAATGGTAAATTGTGTTCAAAAAATAGCTGAGTAGAACTTTTCTTTCTACGACAATACTATCATAAAAGAAAAAAAAGGAAATTTTAATTTGAAAACTCTTAAAATGCGTAAAATAAGTAGTGCTCGCGTCAATACGTACACAAATTAATAATGTAAATAATGGACAATATAGTAACATATAGACGTGAAAGAAGGAAAAAAGTAAAGTATACGATGATTAGGCGCTTGCGCGGTCGAGTCCAAGCCAGTAATAAAAAAAAAGACTCTTGGGTTATTGTGTGTATACATATTGTGCAGCACCTGTGGACCCCCTCATCGATCCTCCCCCCATTCGTGCGTGCACGGATGAATACACGCGCGCCTGCGACACTTGTACCAAAACCACCCCGACATAAAATCCACCCCCGCGATCGCCTATATAGCTCAACTGATAGTGTATATACATGTATCATCTGGAGCTACGACGCTGGGAGAGCCAAAGCGTTTTATCTCCCTTGATCCTTTTTCTTTCTTCTCCGCTGCGGCTATCCAATTTTCCCCTTCCGGTTTTTTTCTCTTCCTTTCGACACTAAACTCACCCACCCCCGGTCAGCTGTCTCACTCTCTCTTTTTTTCCTCGCCTCTCCGTATTACGGCTATTTTTTATCACCCTCAATCTTCTTCTTCCACCTCGATTTCCGGAGGTCCCGATCGAGACTCTACATTCATCCCCCCCACGGTGTGGAGGAGGTACGAATGAGCTTTGAAAATATATGTATATAACCGACAGCCTGTTGGATGTACGAGAACGACGAACCTCCCCCTCCGCAAAAAAAAATAGCAAAGATCAGCGTATAAAATATACGTGTACGAACACAGACGCGCCAATGAGTGTAGGAACAATGAGAACTTTGGACAACAAACAATGTAGTGCTGTGGAAGAAAAAAAAAAATTGTGAGGCGCGAAAAGCGGGAAAAATTTTTTTTTTTTTTTTTTTTAAGCATCGTTAAGAAAAAGTTTTTCACGCGCAACGCGAATATAAGTTATCCGGGAGCAGTTTGGGGCGTAAGTTTTTCTCTTTCAAAAGGAAAAAAGAAAAGGTAAAAACGCAGATCGCAGCTCGAGAGGCATACATGTAATATTACGTTGATCGTAGGGATTTTCCGATCTCGTTACATATTTTCCTGTTTCCCTCCGAGAAGTTATCTAGGAACTGCAAGCGATTTTGTAAAATCATCGGATGAACTATGTGAAATATGGGAGAAAAAAAAAAAAAATGACCCACGCACGATTTTCCAGGTCGTCCACCCGACGCGATAGCAGCTATAATAACCCAACTGATGATGCTACTGATGGCGGCGGGTGTAAAAAAATCCTTGGTCTTCAACAACGTCCTGAACGCCATAAATCTCGCGGTGTGGGTCTTCATCATGGCAGCCGGGATGTTTTACATAGACACGGACAACTGGTTCGAGCACAGGGGCTTCCTACCTTACGGCTGGAGCGGCGTAAGCATCGCACACCCAAAAATACACACCCACGAATCGTGAAAAAACCATGACCAATATATACCGATCACCGACAGGTTTTTACGGGCGCTGCGACGTGCTTCTACGCGTTCATCGGCTTCGACATAATCGCCACGACGGGCGAGGAAGCCACGAATCCCAAACGAAGCATCCCCATGGCGATACTCTCCTCCCTCGTCATCATACTCGTCGCTTACGTGACGAGCAGTCTCGTTTTGACGTTGATCGGTAAGAACAACTTGCTATAAACACACACGTATAATGACAGAGACGATAACGATGACGGGAAAAAAAAAAAAAAAAAAAAACAACTTGCAGTCCCGTACGACGAGGTCGACCAAGACTCAGCGCTGGTGGAGATGTTCGGCCAAGTCGGGGCCAACAAGTGCAAGTTCGTCGTGGCCATCGGAGCTCTCGCCGGTCTGAGCGTCTCCATGTTCGGCAGCATGTNCTAAAGATTGATTTTATATTGTATTTGTACAGATTTATCACCTATTTTATAAAATCAACACCTATTCCTTAGAATTTTTATAATTATTAGAGGTTGTACTTAGATGTGCACGGCACATTGTACTTATCGCGTTTTAAGAATCAAATTTTGATATTAACTTTTACAGTCATAGATGCATCTCTACTTCGATCACCCATGTACATATTAACCTTCTAATAGCATAAGCTATAAAGATTTCCTAGGTAATAACATATACTTAACGTTTTCACAAACTTTGTTTTAACACAATTTGGGTCGTAAGTTCGTACATTTTTGTTATCAGTGTTGTCGTACTCGATGTAACGGTAATCCATGACAATATTTTCGATAGTAGTAAAGGTGAGTAATTTCCAGACACCTCTGATGTCACCGTCTGGCATCGGTAGTCGGGGCCCGTGATAAGTGCTTGGTCATACGTGCTGTTGGGGGAGGGGTAGATGGTGGAGGAGAGGAAAGAGAGGGGTCCCTAGCTGGGGATTTTGGTGGCCTTCGAAAAGTGGCGCGGTTTTTAAAATCGGTTGGAGTTTTTGAGGATTGTTAGGATTAAGAGAAGTGAAAGTAATGAAGTCGTTTGGAAAGGGGTTAACAAAATTTATTCAAACCGACTTATAGAATGATACAAATACAAATACAATGTAAAAAACTTCTGATGATTATTCATAGTATATAATGCACGGTGATATAACATTAATACATATAGGTAAAGTTGTCACTGATAAACAGTGTTGTTAATCTAAGAGGTTATAATTTCATACAATATAATTGATAAGCAGAACGCACGATATCTAGTTATTTTTTGTAATATATTTTAATGCAGGGATGTACCATTTAAAAGTAATAAAGTAATATATTTCTAGACTTACAATTTTCAAAACATGTTCAGGATATAACCCGCCTATTTTCTAGTTACTTACGTCTAGTAATTTTATTGTACAAAGTAACACTTATTTCATGATCAATTGATGTAGCTCTTAAAAATATTGAACCAAATCTACCCAAAGTAATTATGAGACATAAAAAACAAAAAAATCGATACAAAAATGACCGCACTCTCGAGAGTCAATACTCTGCAATTGCTGTACGCTCGACTCGTAACTAATACAGTTTCTTCTAAGTTGATCCACATAGTGTGAGAAAGCGGGTGGCAACCCATAACTGTCAATGAAAATTTTGTGTCCAATGGTATTGACATAAAAGGCCACCCATTGCGTACCAGGTCTTGTACTCTCATCTGTATTAGCTACAACAGTACATGGTCTCGTCCAGACAAATAGCAGCTTGTCTGGTTGAAACACCTCGACACTGTTGGCGTCAGAATATGCCTCAGCGCTTTTTGTATTTGTAGTGAATTCATCTTCCCTTATTTTGGCATACACAGATGCAGTAGAGTTCCCACTTTTTCTAGATTTGCAAAGGTTAATGTTTTTCTTGAGGTCGCTGAGGAGAGTTAGTTAGTCACGGGACGCCCGAGCGGAATCAAGAAAATCGGGAGCTGAGCATCGGATAGGAGTGAGTAGGAGCTACCCGTCGGAGAGCGAGGTGGTGAGTCCAGCACTCACACGATCGAGGGGGTAATCCTTGGCCTATGGTTGTCTAATAATCAACCAAGTGGTGCCCTTCGATCTGCTTAGCTCGAACGACGGAGCTTTCCTTGATTTTTTGTCTAACATCTTGTTTGTTGTTCTCCTTTTTTTTCTTCTCGTTTAAGTTACCGGCTTCCAATTGTTTCTTCTCTGCGTTTTCCGTGCGATTCTTGCTCCGTGTCTTTTTTTTCCGTTAATGCGCTCATTATCTGTGTGTCTCTACGCCCGGGTGGTTACGATCTGACGATTATTTTGTGTGCGTTCCTTAATTTAGTTAGTCTGCTCGATTTTTTATTCTAAGGGCCCTAAGGGCCGGTGTGCATTGTAATTGCGTTATAATATTTTGTTTTTTGCATCGCCGAACCGGCCAAGAAGATAGTGTTGGCCTTGTTTAATTTTTTATTAAGACCTTAAGTGATTTTTCTTTTGTTTGTTTACGAATATATGAAAAGCACCGACACGCTAGAGCGCCTGGTTATTCTATGAGGATCTAATTTCCAGGAGTAAAACCGTAAACGCAGCGTGTGTTGGATTTGATTTTCCTTTTGTTTTTGTGTCGCACAGACGTCGTCACGCGCTTATTCATTATTTTCTTTTGGTTGATTCAACGAGCAGTGGCGCTGACCTTGTACGTATTGCTTTAATATACGCCGGATCATAACAATATCAAGTTCACCTTACAGTCGTTGTCATACGCGAACAGTTTATACTTTAATTCTCGGAACTCACCTCCGACGACTATTATTACTTTTCTTTGCGTTCGGCCATGCGACTTACTCGAAACTAGTCCAGCGCCGTATTTACTATAACGTTTGCATTTCTGCGTTTTCTTTCTTTTTTTTGCTTGTAGGTACATTTTTTTACCGCACTATATTATGTGTTACCGGCCAAATGCCACTTGTTTTTCCCCAGCGCGGCAATTTTGTTAACTGGCCGTTACGTTTTGATATTTGTATGCGATTTATTCGAATGATGAATTAACACAAATTGTTGCTATTACTTTTATTATTTTTATAATAAATCATATTTCAATCGTATTTATTCATTTTTGTTGTGGTACTGTATGTGAACCTCTGTCCTTACCACCCACTTTCTCATATAAAAGAGACCCTTTCAAGATAGACAAGAGAACTCTTTAAGATTTATTATTTGACGCCCCAAAATTTTCTCGAGTTATTTTTACTTTTGATTGATTCGAATGTAAATGTGAAGAGTATTTCTTGCTATGTCACGTTGAGTTCTATATACATCTTTGGTATTAGCTTGACCATTGAACCACTCCAGTCCGTGAAAATCATACGTTAAATAACTATTTGTAGCTGAAAGTCCTGACATCAATTCCGTAGTGTTATAGGGTGGTTTCATAATCCAATGTGAACTAAAGTTACAGTCGACACCCACGACTGTGATTTGTTTTGGTAAGAAGTCAACATTTTTATCGTAAAATGCTTGAATGTCTTCGATGAAATTAACTTTTTTTACGGTTTATTGTGAGCAGCCACGTCCACTATCTTAAATGGTATGCAGCATACTGGTCATTCTACGACAGACTGGAGACAACGAGATAAAAAAAAGGTTTGTAACATAGCTTAAGTAGTGGTAGTGAATGTGAATAGAGAAGTTATGGGGGCAGTAGTGGTAATGGTGGTATAAGGGAGGTAACAAAAAGAGAGAAAAAGAAATTATTTTAAGGCGTTGAAATCCACAACTATTTGACGATTTAATTTCATTTATAACACGTTGTCGAACTCCGAGTAAAGAACGCAATTTATCATTTTTGTCAGAAGTGTCTCAAAACGTACTTCTATTCTGACGGAACCATTTCTTACTCAATTCCAATAACCTGCAAGTGCGCAGACAAATCTGGTGTAATATCAAATGCAAAAAAAAAAAATACCCTTTTGAATAATTTTTTCTGTGTATGCTGTTTCCCTCGTTCATGTCATGAATTCCAGAGCCAGAAAATAACGTATAATAATCTTCAACCTACATAGATCCGTTCCCTGTAAGAAAAAATTATAATGATTTGCTCGGAATTTATACCCCATGAATATATAATGACAAAAAATTAATAGACTAACTTTGTAAATTAAAGAGATTAAGTTTTCTATCCCCGTTGAAAGCTTTGTTATCGATGAATCCTAGTATTATTATTTTTGGTAGCTGGCCAAAAATCACGTTTTCTTAACAGTTACCTGTAATACTGCTGTGCTTAGTGAAAGATTTAACTTCCACACAGGTGATTGGATATTTTGCAGTAGTGCTTGTTAAAGTCTTTGCATGTCCAATCAAAACTGTGGGGCTTACTTTTACTCATCGTACAAGAAGTGTTGCTTCGGTAATACTGACTGAATAATTCCTTGAAGATGCACCCATCAAACAAAATGCATTCTTCAAACAAATCAAACGTAATCGATCTTTGACACTATTTAATAATATAGTTTTGTGATTCTAATGCTTGTCGGTAAATTAGAAATTCATACGACCAATGGTATACAAGCGAATTTTGATACATCTAAATCATTGTATCAAGAGATGCATATGCATAGATGGTGGCATTTTCAATACAAGCACTCTATATCCTCCATACATGCCCTTTTTTTTCAATATCCAATATACTTACTTTAAAACTCATAATATCAAACCACATTAATTCTTCTTCAAGAAAATTTTCTGAAGAATTAAATAAGAATGAGAAAAATATCCTCCCCAGGTGCGGATAAAACACACAACCTCCTGTTTACTAGACAATTGCTCTACCACTTGAGCTACCGAGGAGCTGTACATTCACTCGCACCATAAGTTTAGATAAGTCTCTCATTCTTAATTTTCAGAGCCATCTCCGCCGCCATCTATGCATTTGCACCTCTTGATACAATGATTTAGATGTATCAACATTCGCTTGTATACCATTGGTCGTATGAATTTCTACTATTTAAAAGTCTGTCTTGATTAAACACGTCGCAATACAAATGACCCATCAAGTCCACTTCCCCATCATCCTTTATATACCTTTGACGTTTTGCCAGAGATTTGTTTTTCTCTGATCCTGAAAGTTCATCCATCTCACCAGCTACATAGATTTCCCAAAGACTCGTGGATAACTAAAAAGTTTGTACTGCAGTTCCGTAATTTAATAGTGTTTCGATGTATGCTCTGTACGGGTAAGTATTATAACGAGGGGTTGCTAATTTTTGATTGAAATGTACGTCAACTTGATTAAGTATACAGTGTAAGAAATTGTTGACTGGAGCCACAGACGTATTTGCTTCCTCGTCATAAGATATCAATTTTACATTAACTCTCGGCATTGTGTGTACTAGGTTCAAATAGTCCTCATTTTGAGATTTTATGACGAACTCTATTGGACTATCGTCGGTTA